CAAACTCGTTTCATGTGTTCAATATATTGACGCCATTGGAGAGTCCCAAGCTTAATTGGGGTGGGGTTTTTATAATAGCAGAGGCTGGGGTGAGGGATTTCTAAGGTTCAGGACCCCTGATTGGCTGACATTTGTCTAGGGGTGTCCTGGTGAAAAGCGATGGGTGTATGCTGGCAGGTGATCCTATCTACAATGGTTGGAACATTAAGAATTTCCTTTGAATGGTCTGTTTCTGGGTGGAGCATGGGTGGTCTAGGTTTGTGGTCTTGGAACCAGGTATTGTCTTAGGGTAAACAGAGACTCAGGCCTTCCTGTTCGTCTATAGGGCCTGTCTTGGCAGGTGTGTACCAAGCTACCTGGGTCCTACAACTGTAACCCCAGTAAAATCAAAATCAAAAAGCACACCACACTTCTGATGGCACAAAATATACATTACCATTCCAAAAGGGGGGAAAGGGAGCATTGTAAGGAAATACTGGACCAAAACAAGAGCGAAAACCAGCTGGGCAAACTCCAAACTCTGCATCTCCAAACCTGATGTCAAAGCACTCTTCACATCTCCAACGCCTATCAGTTTTGTTGACTGCAGCCCCATTCTCTGTCTTGGGCTGGCTCCACATAAGGTGTGTAGTTCTCTTTGGCGGGTATCACACCACTCTGGCATCTCCAACAATCTAGGCTTCACCTTCACAGCGTCACACAATGGCCTCTCTGAGCTCCCATGCAGGGACACCCCTGATACCCTCGTGTCCTCAGGGTCTCTCCTGAGCCTTGGTGGGAGACCCCACAACCCCTCTCTTGTGTTCACAACTCTAGAGCCAGAACCAGTGGGTGGATGGTGTCAAGTTCTGTTGCCATCTGGGGCTGGAACTTGTCCCCTAGTTCAGTTACATTCCAATCACCTTTCTGTTGTTGATGGCTCCTTTAAATCCTTTTAACAAGTTGGAAGCCTAGCTGTGTGGAGTTGTGCCCTGAGGTCACCGCTCCCTTTTCTCCATTTAGCATCCCTCAGTCTTTCCTTTAAACGTTTTATCTCCTTGAGCACTGGAACTCCCGGCTCCTACATTTCACTTCCTGGTGCTCTTTTTCTCTTCAATTGTGCATTTTGCAGTCTTTCCTCTTTACTCTGTTGCTCCTTCTCATTGCACATCTACCTAAGAGTGACCACTAGTAGCCACATTACACAGGCAGTACTGGGCAGTCATGGAGTCAGTGACCACTAATAGCCACATAACACAGGCAGTACTGGGCAGTCGTGGAATCAGTGACCACTGATAGCCACATAACACAGGCA